AATCCTTTGTTATTTACTGCCAAATATAGTGATTTTATATCGTAAGGAGATCAAAACTCTACCCATAAAACGAGATGGATTCGGTATCAAATGTTTCCCATCCTCAACAGAAACCGTGTCTTAAAGAACATTGGAAGGAAAGCGACTATTTTGAAAGAGACAAACAAAACCAATTCAATCTGCAAACAGCGAAGTGTCATACTGTAAATGTACCAAGTCATACTGGGATTCAACTTTTCTTTCAATCTCTCTCTCATTATTAGCACCACTGCTTCCATCAGTCAACACCATGAATGCCTTTGAGGAAGGAATGAAAGTGTTTGCTGTCATTCCTCTTTGCACGGTCACTGCGCCTCTCTGTTTGGTATGAGGGCAGACTTTTCGCCCTGTCCTTGAGTGTGGTCGTTCAAAATAGTTACAAACACTCCTGCGTTTAGCCGTGGCTGGATGAGAATGACCTTTAGCAGCTGTTTCACAGGGACAGACGTCAAGAGTTCTACACTCGAAACATGCTGAAAACTGTGTTAAACATCTACTCTAAAATAGCCCTAAGATTTTTTATCATGGTACTAACATCCTGTACAATTAAGAAAAGGGATTACTAGCCAGTTTATTGTTCTGCTTCCAGAATTAAATGTCCTTGATTCCTGATGATTTTTGCTTTTCATAAAACATTTTACCATTGCCTGATTTTCTCTTCATCATCTCTCATGGCTGGCATGAAAAGAGTGTAAATACTCCTCTCTGGACTTCACCTACCTAATATCACTCAATAAATACATGTACCATACATGACGTTTGCTGTAGCTATGTTTGTATGACAAAATAAAGAACCTTGAAGGATACTCAAAATGACCACAAAGAAATACAAAACACCTACAGAGAGCAAAAATACTCTAAGATCATCAACATAATATTATACACAATATGCTGTCAGTCTGCAGTACTGAAGCCAGCAAGAGTCCGCAACACAGAGCATGAATGTGTTTGGTGGAAGAAGCGGGAAAACACAAACAAGAAAACGTGATGACAGATGTGATTCCACTCTCAGCTCACAGTAACTGTAAATATTGTTGTGGACAAAGCCAAAATTCCCTGGATGCTAACCACCAAATGCAATCAAAGCGCAAAAGAACTAGCTAAAACTGTTTCTGGCTTTTCGTAGGTGTCTTAAAAAACAGTATCCTTGATCGAGCCACAGTGTCAGTGAATGAGGATCGAGCGACAACCGTGGACTAACAAAAGAGCTTAGAACTATTGCTTTTACGGGCCTGGTCATGTGGAAAATAACAATATAAAGTATAAATAATTCAGAAATCTTACTGTTTCAGCACTGAATGCAAATATTTCAGCAGGTCACTTTAAGGCCAACATCTTCTCATGTATATAAAATAGCTTTAAGAGCAAGAAAAGAAACAGGAAAACCTACAGAGCTTTAATCTGCCTCTCTGAAGCAATTCCAACAAAACTTCAATATGTCAACAGCAAATTTCCCCCCCCCCCCCCCCCCCCCCCCCCCCCCCCCACACACATCTTAATTGCAGAAGAGATCCATCCTGCTTATCGTTTCTGGCCCTCTAAGCCCACCGAAGTCTTTCAGTATAGAGCTTTCATTAGCCGCTGATATCTGTCAGTCCTGCTGGGCTCTGCAGGACTCTTCATTACCGAGCCGGAGACACAATCGACTGCATGAGGCTCTCTGTTTAGACAACCAAAAACAGATAAGTATTTATTTGATGTGTTGCTCTATTCTACTCCGCCCCCGTCCGTTTTGTTTTTATTCAATTCTTCAAAAAAGCGTGGGCTGCACGTGTCAAGTGAAATGTCGCAGCAACAAAATCCCCTGACAGCATGTCGTGTGTTCGTCTGTGAGCGAACGCGGGTTTTGTGCTCTGCCTCGTTCCATTGGCCATTTTTCTTTGAAAAGAGAGATTCACTGCCACGCTGATGACATCTGTGCTTGATGCCCTGCAACACACAGTGCAGTGCACAACTTGTTCATTACTTTACCCTGTGCCAGCCTGTATTCCCATTTTGCATACAGTCATGCATAAAAGATGAACAGAAATACTTTGTTTATTAGTTGTTTACAGCGTGAAACATTGTTAATTCATCACGAGAATGCTCTGTTTTTGCTAATGAAACTTTTCTGTAACCTGTAATGAACCAGTATTCGAACAAATCTTTCATAGCAACACATTCTCTTCTTTAAGGAAACTGTTAATACAAATGTAGAATAAAGCATCCATATTTCACACCTTATTCTTAAAAAACGCACAGGTGTTGTACTTGAGAAAGGCAGCATGTGAAAACAAAAGTAATTCACAGAGCTGTTTTAAATCATTTTCAAGTTCAAGTGAGCTCTCAAGTCTTTAAAGGTCCCATGTCATGGCCATTTCTACTGATCATAATTCCATTGTTGAGGTCTACTAGAATAGATTTATATTGTGCAATTTTCCAAAATCACATTGGTTTCTCATACAGCATCTCTGTATAGTATGTGTATTCACTCTCTGTCCTAAACGGCTTGTTGGAGCTCCTGCCCCCCCCCCCCCCCCCCAGTGTGCTCTGATCGGTCAGCTCGCCCACTCTGTTCTGATGAGTCCACCACCGTTACAGCGGAACATCAGTGATTATGTGTTACAATGGCGTTTGTTAGCAACCAGAAAATGACACCAGTAATGACAAACAGATGAGAATGCTGACGGACAGTGTGAGCTGGGTTCATTTCCTGCTTGCTGCGTGGGATCTGCGAGACAGCGAGACATCGCGAATGGACGCGGGAAGGGGGGGGGTGCTGAGGGGGCTGCAGCACCCACATCTGCGAGGCTCCACTAGCACCCGCACCCCCAAACGTGGTGCACCTACAGTGTAAGCGTGCCACAGTTTCGCCGCTGCAAGGCTCCACTAGCACCACCCCCCCCCCTCAGCGCGTCACAGTTTCGCCGCTGAGAGAGTGTGTGTGTGTGTGTGTGAGAGGAGCTCCACGGATTGGTCCAATGGGTCCATTTGGGTATGGTCACGTCACTGTACCCAGGAAGAAAAAGAGAAATCTCCAACGAGGCGTTCTGGTGCAGCATAGACAGGTCTTTTCTGTGTTACAGTTTTACTCGCTACAGGGTGTACTTTGAGGGTTTGTGACTCTGCAGACCGTTTACATGCAGAAAAACCTTCATAACACACAAGGGGACGGGTAATAACCGGAAAAGCATGACATGGGACCTTTAAGTCTATAAAAAACCTTTGTCTTTAAAATCCTCGAACAGTTTTTTTCCCAAAGTAATTGAGACTTTTTTTATTCAATGTACTGATTCAATAATGACATATTCAAGGTGTGCTGCAATGCCATATTAATGTCCTGAACATTTCCTATTGCTCAATCATTTACCAGATCATAACATGAGCCTTGAATATTTGTCTTTTAAATCAAATCTCTAGACAGAGTAATACAGCATTGAAGTCCAAGTCTTTTTAATTGTGAAATCTAAATAAAGTCTTTGTGTGCAGTGTACAGCTCTATAATTCTATAAAAAAAGAAAGAAATAATGAGGGATAAAACATTGAGCAGAAAGGTTTCAGTGCAGCTCATACAGACATGTTAACATTTAGATGTTTTAATCACATGTTCAGTCATCTTTAAAGCCAGCGTACAGTGCTGAGCTGCATGTATGTGCGACATCAAAGTGGTCGGGCAGAGTGGAGTGAACACAGCAGCGTGATGTGCCTGCAGGGTGAAGCAGCTTGTTTTAAAAAGTCGAAGAGTGCATGTCCTCTCTCAGCCAAAGAAAGCACACCATCTCTCAAGCGGCACACATGCTAATGGACCATAATGCAGCTAATGGGCAGCATTAACAATACTCTTATAGACACTCATGTTAACATTATGGTAACAAATGCATGGGTTTCAAGCGCGATGGAGCAAAACTCAGACAGTGGAAAAAACCCTGAAGCAGCTGGGAGCAGAATGATGACAAAATGGATTCGGCCGATTGCTGCAACATCACTCTGCTTTGCATGCTTCCAATTTTCACAATTTCACCCAAAAGGGCACACCCACCCACACTACTACTTTAGCTGTGTTCATCAAATTAGGGCTTTTTAAATGTACACAATGTTCAAATGCTCAGTAGGCGGATATCAATTGTTCTTTCTCATTGTGAACTGAAGCAAAAACCCGATTGTTTTGCTGTTGTATAACTCCTTTGTGTGTAGGTGTACTGAACTTCCTTATGTGTGTTTATTTATAAGCTTTTTTGCACGTTACTTGAAAATAATGATGTTTGATTCTGTTTTAAGGTGCCATTTTGACATGTGGGACAACGGAGCTCATTTAACTATTTCTCTTTCTTTGTTGTTTGATATGAAATGCCTCTGACAAATAAAATAAACTCAGCCTCTACCAGTTTGGATAACTTTTCTTGTAAGGAAATGGCTTCCAGATGTGGGGAATAATCAAAGGGTACGTTTATTCTGCTTGTTATGGTTGAAAGGAATATTTAGGAAAAAAAGGGCGAAAAGGGAACATACTCTCTCCAGTACAGCTTAGCTCTGAGTGTTCGTGATGCTTGCTAATGTAAACATGATACATGCTAATGTAAACAAAGACCATATTACTTCCAAAACACGTCGCACATTGTTTCCGATAGTGACGTTTCTGATAGTGCCGTGGGTGTAAAGCCAGTCCACATTTCCGATATTACGTCATAACCGACGCAAATCTGGATCGGCTCTGTTGTACCCCCGTTTTTAGAGATTTGGGTATGTAGGAAAAGAGAGAGGGTTTTGTTTTCTGACACTTTGTGAGTTCCCTGACACACCGGGGACACATATTTATGTATAAAAGACATCAAAAAGTGCATTTTGCATGATAGGAGACCTTTAAATTAAACTGATTATGTTATTATCTTGGCCTTCTATGTCTTGCAGCATCATTGTCCATATGACAGTAATGATGTTTATGTTTACAGTAACACACACAGTTTCTCGTACACGGTCCCTACCTTGCAGAGCCTCCTTGGCCCGGTCCAGCTCCTGCTCCTTCTGGGCCAGCTGCACGCGGAGCTCGGTGGCGGAGAGCACGTCGGCGGAGCAGCTCCCCTGGGTCTCCTCCAGGTCCTTACTCAACATGTCCTTCATCTGCCGCAGCAGGTGCACCTCCTCCTGGAGCTGGGCCACCTCCTCGCGCAGCAGGACTACAACACACACACAGAAACAAAATGGAGCTTGAGCAAAAATCAAAACACTGCCCAAGATATTCTGATTAAAAGCAAGTGTGGCTTTTTGATTTGATTCTGACAGGCTTAACAGTTTTTAAGCCCAGCAAATGTAACTCCAGTAGCTAGGGAAAGGTCATATGAATACTAAAATTCAATCTCAGAGGTGTGTTTCCTTTTGAAAAGCCATGCCACTGCGGAGATGGTTATGCGTGAAATGTAAAATCGATTTAACATCACCATAGGAGGTCATGGTTTTTATTTGAAATTGAAATAACTGCAGTGCCAAATTACTCTGGGTAATAAGCATCAAAGGGGTGGGTGGGGTCCAAGAGATGAGAAGAGACAAGCCATTGATGTTATAATGAAATGTATCTATGCTGATGCCTGTTGAACCTGTTAGAGGGAATTATGAGAAAAGGAGAGAAGTGTGACCTTTAAATATTTAGTGCTGTTAAAGAAGCAACAATAAGATGAAAACAGCAGCAAAGAGAAACAGTTGTTTAATCATAATTTGACTCACTGGAAGTCCAGCGAGGACTTCCAGCGAGGACAGCCACAGCAGACAAATGTGCCATATTAAAGGGGCCCTATTTTGCTTTTTGAGGTTTTTCTTTTACCTGTAGTGTGTTATGTTTCTGTGCATGTAAATGGTCTGTAAGGGTTCAAATCCACAGTGTGTCCCCCCCCCCCCCACCTGAAACACCTCAATTGTAATCCTCTGTTTACTTCCACAACATAAGGACATCATTATGTAACACTCCCACTTGTATTGGCTAGCTAGCGCTCAAACACATTGTAAGTGTGTTGAAGCGTGCTTGAAAGGCGGGACATCTCTAAGCAGTTGACCAATCACAACAGAGCCGGCCAGCTAACCAATCAGAGCAGACTGGGCTCTGGTTTCAGACAGAAGGTGAAAAGAGGTGCTGCAGCACAGGCAGTATGAGAAAAATAAAGAGCTTATTGAACATTTAAGCATGTAAACATGTCACAGTAGAGGCTCCAAATACAAATATGAACATGAACATTAGCAGAATAGGGCAACAATGTCTCTTTTTTTTTTAAATGTGCTTGTCTTGGTGGGGCATACAGAGAGTAATTTATATAAGGATAAGTACAATCCTTCTGCACTATTTCATGGATCCTCAGGGCAGAGTGTTGGGGGGGTGGAGAGAGGAAACCTGCTCAGCCCCATCTCGTATGGCTCCACTATCAAGTGCCTCGCATAAATCACACTTCATACTCACATAGCCAGCACCATATGACTGTCTGCAAAAATAAAATCAATCATAGATGAATGGGAGAACTGAGAAAAGGAGACTGAATATGCGAAAAATACTCAGATATTTAAGCCTCCTTTGTAAAGTTGTGTTATTTTATATCTCAAAGAGGACAGTAAACTAAGAATATCTTTGTATAAATTGCAACTATTTCTTCTTACGTAGGTACACCAGGCCATCTTTTTGCTACAGTTTATCCTTTAGTGTCACAAAACTGGAGGAGTTCTACTATTTTGCCCAGACAAATTGCAGATAGAGAATACCTTACAATGCAATGCTCTCCATGACAACAACACTACTAACAAGGACTTCAAATATTTTACCTGAAATGAACATTATGAGCTTCACAAAGACAGTATTTTCTGTGAACTCCCTGAATGTGTCACCGGTGACACATTTATTGTTGACTGTCACCTTTGTGAATGGCGCATTCATCTTTGATCCTGTGGCCCGGCCATGACACTAACAGTTCATTCTCCACTCCTCTTACAGCAGATGTGCTCCTCTCCAATCTTCCCCTCCAGCACCCACAGATGTGATGGATAAGTTACATCAGGACAGCAGAGGCGGTTCAACACCAAACTGTGACAACAAACTATAACGGAGGTTATGTGGTGTATTTAGCCTTGCTCTGATGCATTTTTAGCACCACATGGATTACTTTAGCTCGCACCTTTGCTCCCCTGAAACTAAAACAAACCATTTCACTAGTTGTGCGACCTGCTTCCCAGGGCTCTGGAGTCCTTTAATTTGTATTCACTGACTGAATGTAAGTGGTTGAGAATAAGAGCTGCCCGCTAAAAAAAAAAAGGGGTTATTAGGACAAGGGTCGAGAGAAAAACGTTGGCGGGTGGAGTGTCATTACACAGAAATATACCTAATGGAGCTGATAATAGAACCACATTTTACGGAGCAGCTCAAGCAGAAACAGCCTTATTGGCAACGCAAAGAGCTGGCCCCTGCTGTACAGTTCATTGGTGTTTAAAAATCCTATAACAGACACAGACTCCATTTGATTACTTAGTCATTAAGTTTGTATGTATTGATTGTGCATAGTAGCACTGCAGGGAGTCATACATAAATGACAAGGATCCGTTTCCTCTTTTATAGACAACCCCTTAATACTGTTGAACAAAAATGGTTTGTATGACACACACTCCCTTATAGAATCAAGCAGCTTCTTTGGTGGCTGCATATGTTTGAAGAATTGTCACCAGTACAAATCTTCGGATGTAAAAAATAGAGATATTGATTTGAAACCTCCCGCAGTAAGTTCTATTATTATTATCTATTATCTAATTATCTCAACTTCCCCATCATAATATATTAGCCAGCTGTGAGTTTGATCAATGTAAGAGGATAGATAATGAACAGAAAATAATTACATAAAAATTGATTTCCGGATGTTCATGGATAACATAAGGGGTGAAAGATATAACAATTATCACCCCTTCTTGAAGACTCAACAGTAAGCAGGCACAAAGTACGGCTAAGTATGGGGTAGATTTAGATTGTTTGCCCTAAAAGGGATACTAACACTGAATAAGACTACCTCTGTGGTATAAAATGAAAACCTTTTGCCGGTTAAATTTGTACACTTAACCGGCAAAAGGGCCCTCACCAGCTATGATAGGAAATGCAAGATGTCCTGTCTCAGTAGTTATTAGCAGAGTGTGTGAGGTGGAAACAGATATGTTATTGTCTTTTCCAGCTTTGAGCAGGTGAGCACTGTGCTGGAGCTCTCTAGATAAGACAGTCAGAGGGTGGGGGGGATGGTGGGTGTGAGGTAGAGGGGAGCCAGACAGCCACCTATTTTTCAATGTCCGCATCTCCTGAAGGTTGGCGAGAAGCATGCGCTATAAGCTCTGCATTACAAATGACAGTCAGAGTGGGAGCTTCCTGATAAGAGTAATCTCCCCCTCTCTCCCCTCCGGACTCCGTGCAGCTCATTCCCATGGAGGGTCCCTGCCAACGTTTGTGGGACGCTCACAAATCAGCACTTTTATGAACATGCAAATAATTGAATTATCTTTTGTTCATTTTTGTGTTTTTACATTTCCTTTGTTTTTTTGTTTTAATATCGTGTAAATTAACTCTTGAAAAGTGTAATAATTGTATTAAATACTGTGCACTTTTTAAAACAGCAGCAATCATGTGTTCATAATGTATTTCATACGCACACTGATGGTGTCAGACTGCCTGCATGGGGTTAAACTTGAGGTTTAGCATCTTGCTTAAGGACACTTGACATGCAGAGTCAGGAATCAAACCGTCAACATTGAGATTAAACGACGACCCGCTATTCCTCCTAAACCACAGCCAGCTCTAGTTGATTGAAATGTAAAAAAGAATGTTACCCTGGAAGGAAAATAATATGAATCGTTTTTTGTATTTGTTATTCATCAAATCATTTCACCACAGAACCCACATTTAAATGTTACACGCCTCAACCAAGGCTGCTGTTTTAGCTGCACTCCTGCTCAACTGTCAGCAAAAAACCTTCTGGCTTTAATTATTTCTCTTCCCAAACAGAAAAAAGAAAAGACAAATTCAAAAAAGAGACGTTTCTGTCAAGTGTGTAAGGCTGTGAGCACACAGTGAGTTTGTGTTTGAGTTTGCAGTGTGTGCTAGTGACTGTGTTGCCATCACTACCTCGGTACTCGTAGGGATGAGAGGATGTTTCAGGGTCGGATGTTTGCTGACTCTCTGCTGTTAGCTCGGCCTTCAGCACCACCTGTTCCCCCAGCATATTCTCTGCTCCTGACTGACAGCTACCTCACAAAGTATATAGTATATAGTTGAATATTTAAAGGTTATATATACAGTATTTAGGGAATTGATGTAGAAACGATTTGCTGTTTACAGATTTAGTGGAGTAGGCGTTCTGAGTAGAGGATGAAGTGATGCAACCTGATGTTCTCTGTGCTTTGTTTACAGTCTGACCACAAGTGGATGCTTGTGCATGTGAGTCCTATTAGTGGCTAGCTAATCCTCTCCTCTTTAGCGCTGATAATGCCGTCCTGATTGGTGGGGTTGTCGCAGAAATGTTAAACTCACCCTCTGGTTCCTCTTTATGTTGAGGCTATTTTTTCTCCATCATTACTGTTGCTGTTGTCTGCACTGTCTGCGCAGTTAGCAACACTAGCCATCACCATGTTGAAATGCAAACATTTTTGCAAAAGGTTGATCATATATCCATCTAGCAGTTATTTGGCAATACTATCATTCATTTGGAGTTATTTCTGAGCATCTAACATCTGCAGGGCAAATATTCACTCTCTTTGAGCTCTGTATGTCTCTATACTAACTCCAGAGGGAAATCCTTTGCTCTACAGCTGTTTAGCAGCTAGCCTCTAACTGTGTCATTTGGTGCCGAGCAGGAAGTGTGTAATGGATGTTAGAGAATGTCCCCTCAAAACAGTTACCAAACGACAGCATAAGTACATTAAGTAAAAACATCAACTAACAGTAAAAGTTACTAAGGCATTAGCTAAAACCCAATAGAAAGCTAAACTGTGAAGCCAAGGGTACTGCAGATTCAAGTGAAGTGTCCTTGCTACATGCTAAATGAAGCTATTCACAATTGTATTAATAACATACACAAGATAAAGAAACAATAGATACAGAGAATAAAAACACTCTTAAATGTGTTGTACTGCAACTTTCACTTCAATAAAACTAGTGTCACAATACACTCAA